TGTAAGATTAGTCATTAGAATTGTAATTAGTATGTAAAAATAGTAAACTTGAAGAGGAATTCACAATTGTGGCAGATATTGTAATAAGCAGAGGTCATGACAGAAGAGATTAGCAAAAAATGGTCTTTAGCATCGTTGAATAAATAATATCCATTAATACCTGGATAATTATAACCGTTAAAGGAAACACGAGTAGCATACGCCTTTATTAATTATTTTATAAAAGGAGTTTACTCGTCTCCTTAACCCGTCGCCATTTATGGTATCAGATATGCACTCTCTCATAAGTTACTCTTCAGGATAAGTTATGACTGTTTTTATTTAACGTAATAAACATTATCCGTAATATTTGTTGAAATTGAAAGCATCTTATGTATATACATTACGTTATATTTATATATTTATTAAATGCGCAATTATAGTTACAGTTGTGAGTTATAATTCTTATACTGTAACTTTCAATGCGGAACTAGGAAATTAAATAATCAGGTCTATCAGTGTAAATGTACATAAATATATTCTCAAAAGATAAATTCATTTAATGGTCGATTAATGTACGTCTAGTCATGATCATGAAACTTTTATCTTCGAGGTAAAATGAGAGAAAAAGCATTTTAAATCAGGAAATCCTGTGGCTAATGAAAGTTAAAATATTAAATATAACAAGCGAATTTATACGTCCTGTCACTTTTAATAATTATAATTATATGTTATTTACTTTATTTTGAATTGTATGTAGGTTTTTATTCCTCCTAAATCCTTCTTAGATATTATCGTTTTGTTAATTAGATTAGTCTTTTATTGCGAAGTAAGAAATTATGTAATTATAATTTTATGTAAGTGTATTATATGGCTTTTTTGTGCTATGCATTTCGACAGATTATAGATGTAATTTGATATTTTACTGTTGGAAAGTCTTAGAAATTAAAAATTAAGTTTTTGTAAATTAGCTTTAAGGTAAAAGCCCCAATTATTAACGAACTTTTAAAATTTATTGTAACATTAAAGTTAGCTGTCATTTGACCAATTTTTAATTTTATTTAACAAATAAATTATTTTTTAAAAATTGCATTTTTAATTTTTTTAAATTTCTACAAGTCAATTTTTTTTTTCTCATTTTTTTTTGCCATAATTTATTTGTTAACAAAAGTTATAAAAATTATTAAATATCTGCTAAGTTAATTTTATCAATTTTCAGAAATTATAATGGCTTTAAAATGAAAAAAAAAATTATTTTTTATTCTTTTAGTTGAATAATGAAATATTTTCCGTGTCTTCTATTGAATGAAAGTGTTAATTGTAAGTTAAGGATAATTTAGATTTGTTTTCGTAAAATATAATATTTTAAACACCTTACCACATATAGGTTAGCTATGACTTTTTTAAATCGCCAATTAATGAATCGTTATTAATTAATATTATTTATGCAAACACTATTATGTATGCAAATAAACTATTTTTTGAAACATCGCTGTAGCTTAAGTTGTAATCAAAACTTTAAAGTTTTGTTTTCAACGTTCAAGTGACGTCATGAGAGCAGTAGTAGAGAGTTTTAATGCCAAAGATGTCGTTGTTTCGGACAAACTTAGCATCTTTACCACAAATAAATGATATATTTCTGACAAATAATAAAATAATTCGAGTCCACTGTTATATTTACTTGTACCAAACGTATATAGTTGTCATAAAGAAATATTTTAAAAAACTACTCAAATAAATTGATTTATTCGAGACAAATAATTCTTTTTTTCTTAAATAGCTCCAACCTGTAGCCGAAAATTTTCGTGGAAATAATTTGAATAGCAGAATCCTGTTTGTGAAAATCCTTTCCTACAAAGTGGATCGTTTTCTTCACTTATCCGGTTATCCAGGTTGTAATCCAGCGTGGAATGAGTAGTCAGTTGACTAGCAGAGCATCCGGTGAAATATATGAGACGCTTACAATGATGCTCCTTGTAACAGTTACGGAGAAAAATCCTCGCGGAAACTCCTTTCCACTCAGGAATTAACTCTGCCAATTTCTCCATACGATCAATCCATCAAAAATTCAATCCACTGGTGAAAATAAAACTGTGGTGGGTTTAAAAATAAATAAAGTTAGTCCTTAAGCGGGAAAATTCTCCTCCGGAGTGAATAAAAAAATATAAATGTAATACAAAAAAAAATGTGAATAAAAAGAGTACAAGTTTGAGTACGAGTACAAGCACAAGGGTAGTAGATATTGCTGCGTTCGGATCTTGCAGCATGTGTGCCCCATAAATAACATGTAAATATTTTCAATAACTGCCTCGGCATGAAAAATGCAAACCGCTTTGCGTCCGGCTCGACCGACATTCTCCCTTCTTCCTCTCGCGACTCACCCACAACTCGATCTATTATATACGTGTTGTATCGGCGTCTTGTTTTGCTCTCCTTCGTCCTGGAGACTTATCCCCTTCCCCTTAAACAACTAGAGCTTCACCCCGGGAATGTAAACACGTACGCAAATTTATAACCGACTCAATATTTGTCCAACACAAGTCCGGCTGGGACAACTTTAATTTCACTCGGAATTTTACAGATTTTTAAACTTTTCTATAATAATGCTCTTTTCTCTAAATTTATATTATGGCTTAATAGTAAATATATTTAATCATCCGTAATAGGAATAACTATCATATTAATTTTTATTAAATTCTAATGAATTAAAAAATTAAAAAAAATTACTGTCAGTTAATATTAAATATTAATTATTAAAAAATAAAGTTAGCACCAGTTAAAACCAGCTTACACGGAAAGAACAAGATGACACTGGATATAATCCCAGATTATACTGAGTGAAAAAAAATTTCAGATAGTAGCTAGTATAATCCAGATTACAATGAGTATAATTCAGATTACAATGAGTATAATCCAGATATCACACAGTATAATCGGGATTTTTTTTAGCTACTATCTGAAATTTTTTTTTTCATCACAGATATCACTGAGTATAATCTGGGATGATATCCAGTATCATCTTGTTTTTTCCGTATAGGAACGTTTATTTTCTTAACAATTTTGTTTAGAAAAGCATTTTTTTTTAAATGCCGAGTTTAAATTCATTTCTTCATTCAATAATATCATCTTTTTTTTTTTTTAATTAACAATTATCATTTTAAAAAAATTGATTAGTAAAAACATTACTTGAAATCACCACAAACAAAATTAATATTGATATTTGATTGCTTAAAAAAAATCAAATCATAACTTTGTCTCTAGGGTCAATAATTAGGGCTTTTATTTTCCAAAAAAAGTCTCCTTTCAACCAAAAAATCACAATTTTAATTACAGCTATAACATAAAATATTTGATTTGTTACAGGGGCTTTGGATTCATCACATTTGCAGATCCTTCAAGCGTAGACAAAGTATTAGCCCAAGGGAACCACGAATTGGACGGCAAAAAGGTGAGCAAATGAATAAATTAAGTAATTAGCATACCTTATGCTCTATAATTAATTGCAATGGATAATATTTCCCGAATAACTAATATAATGCCGGGAGTGAAAAACGGCAATGGGCGTGCCAAAAAACGGGCTGAGATCCGGATCGAGAATTTAGTGGTTCTCGAATCCAGTCTCCAGTTGACTACTGGAAAGTACAATAGCCAAGATATATACTAAGACATGGTAGGTGGCGCCCAACGCTCTTGCGGGACCGATAAATTTCTGTTAATTCGCACCGCCTAATTTCAGCGATAATTACAATGGTTATAAGTGAGTATAGTATTTTTTTTTCTGCAGTCTGGGAATATTTCTCTAATGATTGTTTAAAGGAAGCAAAAGGACGGAAATTCCCGGGCTGGATCCCGGAAAATTGTCAAAGTTCTTTGGGATGTCTCAGCCCGCATAACAGATCTTAGACGCGAAAAGCCCGTTTTGATGGTTCAGAGCATTTCATTTGAGTACCCACATGCATTTTTGATATATTTTTCATATATACATATATATAATATATATATATAAATATATAAAATATATGAAATATGCATGTGGCTACTCAAATGAAAGGTCTCAATGAGTATAACCTCAGGATGAGCTTATATCTTTGAAAATATCAATAATTGACAAGATACAAGGTAATTTCTTAATTATTGATATTTTTACAAAATTTTGCTTATTCTCTTAACAATATAGAAGAATGCAATTAATCCAAGTCTGGTCTCATTTAATATTTGTAATACAAAAAGTATTTTATCTTCGCTAAGCATACTCGTAACTAGACACAGATATACAATTAACTACCACTACATATAATAGTAATATTCATTGCAAGTTGCTGACTAGTACACGTGACCCCCGTGGCGTACCGCGTAATACATACTCTACGCATAGTATTGTCTATACCTATATATGCAGAGGAGATATGAGTAGAAAGAGAATAAGAGCAGTTTATGTAACTACTAACGTGTGTGTCTGCATGAGCGTGTGTATGTTACGTACGCGAGTTTGTAATTAGCTGTGTGCTGCATGTAAGTCGATGCAGCAGCCGTACTCGTAACTCAATGCTATGTTATAGAGAATATACAATGCGAGATATGCCTTTTGTGTTATTCTGCTAGCTCGTTTTTATTTTTATGAGCTACATTCGGTAAGAAGGATTGTTAAGCTTTGGAAAGTGATAAATTTAGTAAAAAAAATAATAATAATAATAATAATAATAATAATAATAATAATAATAATCCTTCCAATCGTTGGAAAAAATTATTAAAAATCCAGAATTGAGGAAACGATCTTTGATGTAATAAAAAAAAGATTATTTAATCGATAATTAAATCTCTGCATCACTATAAAAGTCTAGTGAGAAAAGGAAAACTGCTAATAGGTGATAACTGTTAATTATTATCCGCACAATAACACAGTAACCGATCAAAGTGTTTATCTGGCTGTTAATTTATGTTAAATTAGTTGTTAAAAGATAAAAAAAGGCGACGCCTACACGGATCACTGGTTCTCATTTCCGGTTTGACTTTCTCACTTTCAGGGGCTTCAGCGTAAGCGTATGCGGTTGTCAGCACATCTTTAAGCCGGTGTCTGTTCAAGCGATGTGGTAAGTTTTAATCATAATTATCATTATTCTTATCATTGTTATTATTCGTAGAATCTTTAAAAACTTAAATTTCCTTTTCATTATTTATAAACAAGCTTCCATCATCCTCCATCTCGTAATCGCGGGTAAAGAATCTCCCGGAAGTGTTAAACACAACAGTTCGGAGAATATAAGCGTGGGTTTACTTCCTTGAGAATTTACCATCGATCAAAAATAAATGTAATAACCTTTTTTGTTTACTTCGATTATTAACAATACGGAAGAGTGCTACTTTAAAATCACCTAAGAATACTCAGAATGCTTCCTGATTCTCTTTTGGTCACTCAGTTGTGGCTCTAAAAATTGAAAAAAATTATTTAGTTTACCTCTCGCTTCTTTTTAGTAGCTTTAAACAGTATTCTAAATCAAAATCTCAAAAGCCAGACCAAAAAACTCTATAGTTTTCATAAAAAATCATATTTTCCCGCCATAATTTCTAAAATCAAGGTAATGACTGATTTTTTTGAACAATTTGGCTCTAAAAATTGGAAAAACTATTTAGTTACCTCTAGCTTTTTATTAGTAGCTTCAAAACAGTATTCTAATTTAGGTTCCAAAAAACTAGACCAAAAAACTCCATAGTTTTCATAAAAAATCATATTTTCCCGCCAAAAATTCTAAAATCAAGATTACGACTGATTTTTTAGACAATTTGGCTCTAATAATTGAAAGAACTAATTAGTTATCTTTGGCTTCTTTTTAGTAAGTTCAAAACATTGTTCCAAATTAGGTTTAAAAAATCCAGACCCAAAAACTCTATAGTTTTCATAAAAAATCATATTTTCCCGCCAAAAATTCTGAAATGAAGATTTCGACTGATTTTTTTGACAATTTGGCTCTAAAAATTGAAAAAACTAATTAATTACCTCTGGCTTTTTATTAGTAGCTTCAAAACAGTGTTCTAAATTAGGTTCCAAAAAGCTAGACAAAAAACTTTATAGTTTCCACAAAAAATCATATTTTCCCGCCATAACTTCTAAAATGAAGATTACGTCTGATTTTTTGGACAATTTGACTTTAAAACCTAACAATATGATCCTGATCCAACTTTTTGAAGCCATAACAAAGAACTAGGTCAGAGTGACAGTGTCACCCATAAAAATGGTTCGTAGCCAAGTTGTTGATCAACAAGCGTTATGATCTTGAGGATGAAAGAGAGTAAATAATCGATCGTAATATTATTATTAGTCTTTAGTATTTTAAGAGCCAGATAGTAATAGGTACTAACTTATATTAGCATCACCACGTGGCTCTCAACATAAGTGGGGATTGAACCAACGCCCGCGCCATTTATGGCTGCGATAACGTACCGGGCCAATTCGAAAAGAAATAGACGGCCAATAAGTAAGTAATAATAAGCCCGATGGACAATCGAGGTAATTTGGCTTGAAGCAGGTCAAAGGTTTATTAATTAATATTGTTGGTGGTATCTAGACCAGAGGATGAAAACCAGTGCGGAATATGAAACAGTGAAAGAAACTGGAGCGAGTGTAAAGGTGAATATAAAGAAGCGTATGAAAAGAAAATAATATGGGCAAGATTTAGTACAAATGTATATACGGGCAGTGGGTCAGCCGGTTGCCAGTCTTCCATTCACCAGACAGTTGCCCTGAGACATTGCGGCGACTACGACAACGTTCATAAGTATAAGTATAAGTATAAGGGAATGGACACAGTAAAGAACCCACGCGTACCTCCAAGCTCGATCGAAAGTCCCGTCTTGCCACTAAGCAAGAGCGTCTAAGGAGGTTACGTGGGTATAGAAAAATACTTTAAAAACACGACGCTATCCGGGTCATGCAGACACCAGTTTCAACAAATCACTCACCAAGCTTCATATCATCATCGTCGAATTCCAAATTTAAGCAATTCTGGCTTTGACCGTTAGTTCTCGGCAGTTTTGAAGTTGTTTTTGATTATAGGCGATTAAATCTTCGAGTTTTAATGAGTTTCTACTTATTAGTTTCATTTTTTATCAATCTTAGTGATATTTTTGCTAAAATGTCAAATTTTGGAAAGCTGTAATGGTGATTTGGAAGATATCAAGCTAATTTTTAAATTAGTGAGACAAAAAGATCAAATTTTGGTGCTATAATGATGCAATTTAATAAAAATTGTCCAATTTCAAAAGAACTTCAAAGATTTGAGTGAAGATTTGTTGAAATCTCATTTTAGAAAGATTTATTGATGATTTGGAAGACAAAACTGATTTTTTGATTATTTGATCAATTAATGAGACTAAAAGATCAAATTTTGGTGCTGTAATTATGCAATTTAATAAAATTTGTCCAGTTTTTATCAATTTCAAAGATTTCTTGATCTTTTGATCAGTTAGTGAGATTAGAGATCAAATTTATCAAATTTTGGTGCTATCATAATGCAATTTAAGAAAAATTGTCCAGTTTTCATCAATTTCAAAGATTTCTTGATCATTTGATCAGTTAGGGAGACAAAAAGTTCAAATTTTGAAGCAATTCATTGAAATTGTCCAATTTTTTAAGTCTTTTGATCCATAATCAAGTTTTGAGCAATAATTCATCAGTAAATCTTGCTCCAAAGCTAATTTTTTGGATCTTTACATCAAAATAATGAATTTCTAGGTGATTTCTTGATTATTTGACCAGTTAGTGAGACTAAAAGTTCAAATTTTGAAGGAATACAATGAAATTGTCCACTTTTCGGTGTCAATTGATCTATAATCAAGTATTAAGCAATAATTCATCAGTAAATCTTGCTCCAAAGTTAATTTCTTGGATATTTTTATCAAAATAATGAATTTCTAGGTGATTTTTTGATTATTTGATCAGTTAGTGAGACTAAAAGTTTAAATTTTGAAGGAATTCAATAAAATTGTCCAGTTTTTGGTGTCTTTTGATCAATAAAAATGTTTTGAGCAACAATTTATCACTAAATCTTGCTCCAAAGCCAATTTCTTGGATATTTTATTAAAATAATGAATCTAATCCAAATTTATTCACCAAAACTCAGAATTTGGTTCACTTCTGATCAATTTGAAGCAAAAAAGGATTCAGAAGGCATTTTTCAACAAAAATGCCACGTTGCGATAGCAAAAATAGATCCAGCGAACGTTTATCAGCAATCTTTTAATCTTCCAAAAGAGATTTGAAAGAAAAAGCAGGCGTAACTTGAAATGACCCGTCGGCAGAGATTAAACCAAGCGTTTCTTATTAGCAGCCCGCGAACTCGTGCGTATTTAAATGAAACAGGTGCAAAATAAAACGGCAGACACCTACATCATCCCACGAGTAACTCACCAGCAGGCAATACTATATATGGGTGCTCCGTCACTCTTGAGTTTATTAAATCAAGCTTTCGGTTCTGAGAATACAGCCGTTGATCTGACAGCTGGGGAATAGAATAAATCGATCCAGATGAGATAGTTTGTCCAAGTGATTTGACCACCGAATTAAATCCAACATTTGTATTACAACCAATCGCTAAAAATAAACAGTTAAACTTTTATAGGAAGGGAGAAATGGTCTTGCGCGAGGTCATAAAGACCTCGATAAGCTGAAAATAGCTCGCTAGTAGAGTCAACTGGCATCACATCACTGTTAGAGTCTTCCACATTTATTTTTCAACTTGTAAGTTATTATATCGAGATCCGGAAAAGCAATTCCTGCTAATTAGAAACAAGATACTTGCTCTTAAGTACTCGCCGCTTTTTATGGAGTAGAAATTCTCCATTTGTCGCCAATCCTACCCAAGATCTTTGTGAATCTTCAAAGGAGATCTGATCAGGTGAAAGTACCAACTTGTCTCCGGTACTCACTTCCTGGACGTCTTCAACAAGACACTGGATTTACTAACTGACCTTTGTCTTTCTCTCCAGCTACTCCTTTAGTTTGCAGTCTAGTTTATTTTCGCTGGAAAAAAGTCTTCGGTGACATCCGACGTGTCGTTTAGCTATTAGTCACTGTAGACAGTTGAAAAGGCTTAGCAGAAGTACTTAATAGCGCTTTTTTTGTCAGGTCAATTGATTAATTGGATCTTGATGGGGTTATTGAAGTATTATTCTTACGGAGAATTGATCACTTGGAAGATGTTTAGACTTGAAATAAGAGATGGAATTCAATTTTTTGGTTCTTTTAATCGAAATAAAGGTTACGTATTGGTTTTTTGGGTTCTGAATGATTTTTAGAGTTCAATTGATCCTTTTTGATGCAAAAATGCTTCAAATCTTGATCAAATTGAACTTTAATGATGATTTTTTGCCGAAAAAGTGGAGAAAACTATATTTTAGGTTGTTTTTGACTCAAAAGTCAGATTTTGGTTAATTTTATCAAGTTTTTTTGGTTTTTGGGTTTTGGATGACTGAGGGTTCAATTGAACCTTTTTGATGCAAAAAAGGTTCAAATTTTGATAAAGTTGAACCTTGAAGACGTTTTTTAGCAGAAAAATTAGAGGAAACTCTTTTTAAGGTTGTTTTTGACTCAAAAGTCTGATTTTAGTTAATTTTAACAAGTTTTTCAATGTTTTTAAGTTTTGTATGAGTTGTAGGGTTCAATTGCACCTTTTTGATGCAAAAATGGTTCAAATATTGATCAAATTGAACCTTTGAGAAGTTTTTTCGCAGAAAAAGTGTAGAAAACTCTTTTTTAAGCTGTCTTTGACTAAAAAATCAGATTTTGGTTAATTTTAACAAGTTTCTTTGGCTCAAATAATTAAATTTGATTTTTCTTAATGCTAAAATTGTCAAAATTAATTATAAAAATATCTACATATATAAACTTGGTTAATTTAATGTGCAAAAAATCAATTTTTAGGTTATTTTATACTTTTTTGATGTTAAAATAGTCAAATTTGTCAATAATATCAATTTTTCCACACATTTATTGTTAAAATTTTTTAATTAAAAAAAAAAAAAATCGTCCAATTTCTTTTAAAATTCTATAAAGTACCTTTATAATTAAACATTACAAATCTTCTTAACGTAATACTTATCATTCTGTCAATCTAAACATCGCTTATTGCTTATTACAAAACATAAGAAACATATAAAGTTAAATTGGCTATCTACAAAATCAAACTTTTCCATTTTATCAGCAGTTTTGTTTCAACCGTGTAGTCTATGATGTGAATCTTTTCCCAGATGCTCTTTTATATCTATTTATCCTTACAAACTCCCATATATATATATATATATATATATATATATATATATATATATATATATAT